CAAAAACTGTTTTCAAAACGTTTTTCTTCCCTGAACTCAAAAACTATTTCTGAAATATGTCTCTTTCATTGTGCACTGACGGTATCCGATACCATAAAACGTTGAGTATTAAAACGTGTTTGATTCAATTGTGAAATATAGTTTAATTCAGTAGTATTCGTTTACATGAGTGAAAATATTCATCAAGTGAAGCATTTTTTAAAGTAACTTCTGATGTACCGATGGTCTTTGACCCCAGACAAATTCATCAACATTATTACCTAGTGACTTGGTAGCAATGATCTGGTTCCTACGTATTGATGTAATGCTTGGCACGAGATAAAAGAGCCGTCTTTCTTCGTTACAACTTTGATGAAAATGAATTATTATTGTTGGTAGCAGGTACATAAAATAAAACAATTCATCTATGTATTAAATACGAATTATTAGTAAAATATACGTATGAGAAGAATGCTTTGAGTGAATATTTTATACGTGGTTTGTTGTATCGAAATAGTTACGCAATGCAAAATACGAGGAACGCTTTTGTTAATTTTGAATATTTAATAGCAGGTGCAGAGAAGCGTAAAACATTTTTCAGCTAAAGTGAGTGTGGTTTCGCTTATGAATAAAATGTCAATTATTCATTCGTTGTGTTTTTAAATATTTCGTGGTACAGATTTTGCATTCTTGTATATTAACCAATCCATGAAGTGAATTTACTCGTAAAACAAGACAACACACTGTTAACGTTAATTTTGCCAAAAAGAAAAATGCCGAAGAAGTAAGTACACGAGCAAGACGGCTTCTTGCTTAATGTTTTTCCACATTTTTCCTGGCAACGAGACTACTACAAGTTTCAGAGGATGGAAATCCCAGATCTAGGTGTAAACGTTAGCTGCAATCAGTGTATACAAGATAAAACTCATGATAAGTGCACAGTTATCTCCTTTACAAATACCAAACATTTGCTGTAACTACCCGATTAATTCAATACTAGCTTAGTATGGCGTATCCGACTCTTTAAACAGTTATAAGAGTATTTTCATTTTTGTTAATTTGGGGTGTTTAATTAGATTAGAAAGATAAGAAAAAAACGGTCAATTCCACCGCGAAGCAGACCGAAACGCGCCGATTGACACTTCGCGTACCCCAATCGGTAAGCCGAAAGGAATCTAAGCGTGACGGTCGGAGGGGCAGGCGCACGCACTTCAAGAAGCAAGAGACTTAAACCTCACATGAAATAAGAACTTCACATTACGTTCTCACACAAATAGCTCACTAACATAATTACATTCGTTGCGTGAATGTAAAAGTAGTTGTACTTAAAATTCTATCGCAACCTCGAAGCTCCAGTCGTATTCCTTCTGACGATGTAAACTCACAAGATACGAATTGAATTTACATTCCATCTAGACTAAACGACGTACTAGAATAATGGAACACGTAGAACCGCTCCCTACGCGCAGTTGACTAGCGCAAATGGGGAAGGTGGGGAGACCGGGACGTACCGGGGATGAGGAAAGTGACGGTAAGAACACAAACGGGGGGGGGGGGGAGGGCAGGTTTGTGACGGGAGAACAGTGTCAGGAGAAGGATGGGGTCGGAGCAGATGACGCGAGGAGGGTTGGTGCGAAGTTTCATTGATTAGTGATTCTGGGCGCTTCGATTGCTAAGCTCATTGGTTCCGTGAATATAGTGCATGCTTTCGTCTGGCGGGGGTGATCTTCCCCCTTGGGTGATCAGATCCGGTGCCGACCTTTCCATCGGCTACCTCGCGTCAGCAGGACAACGACCCAGCCAAGGTCCAGGTTGCGACCGGTATCTGGGTAAATGCGCCAATGTAATGGATGTATGTATGTATGTGTACGTATGTGTAAGTGAGAGATGAGGGTAGAACAAGGAAAGATCGCGCGCGGTCCGTAGTCGCTTTATTAGAATACTGCTTTGGCGTTTGCCTGGAATTGTTCGGAAAAAACACGGAAAACTACCGATTAGAGCAACCGGCCGCTAGAATTCTTCTCTAGACAGGAGCTCAATTCGACGTAGCTATGTAGCTATTATCGAAAATCCTGCCAGACTCGGTAATTGAACCTAAGACCTCCCCGTTAGAGGCACTACAATGACATCAGTACATGCCCTGAGCCACCTCTCCCGGCCTGTGACGTAGGGGACGGAGTTGAGGAGCATGGTGACGGAGGGGAGGACGGTGTCGGGGACGAGAACGGAGGCGGGGACGGTGTCGGGACTGGTCTCGGAGACGTGAACGGTGACCGGGGCGGGGCGGGGGTCGGTGGGAGCCAAGACGATGAGGGGCACCTTTGCCACTCATGTCTAATTCATCAGATAAGCCGGCCGGCCGACCGGCCTGCCTGTGGCATCTGGTGCGGCGGCGTGGCTCGGCGCGAGGCGAGGCGCGGCGTGGCGCGGCGCGGCAACAGGAAACGACCTCGTGCGGAGCGTGAATAAGCTTCCGCGCAATCTCATCAGAGCGGCACGAGCGCGCGAGCGGCCTACGCGTGGAGCCGAGCCGAGCCGAGCGGAGCGGAGCGGGGCGGAGCGGGGCGGAGCGGCGCGCCGGAGAGCGCAAACGGCCGCCGCGCAGGCTAGACACGAGTCTTGTGGAGTTGGAAGTCTCAACAGGCACTCGTAGCTCGGATTATAAGTCCGTTTAATTGGAGTCGCGATCTCGCGTCGGCCCAACTGGCCAGTCCAACTTCATCACGACAAGAAAATAGCGACGACGACACGATAGAATGTTGTTTCTATATATCGGAATATTCATACCGAAAATGTGTTTAAAACAATCCAATACGATAATGTACCTTTTCTTAATTAGAAAGTATTTAGTCGAATATTAATTGCAAGCACAAAACCAATATTAATATTCTTAAATTTCAGTGTTGATATTTTATTATTTTTCAACTTAATGTGCATCATCGACGCAAAATATGCACGAATCAAAGCATGCTGGTTTTCGTCTTTCCGTATATTGCATTGTCGTCAGATGAGGTGACACAGTAGAATGTCGTTGTGAAGTGTTATATATATATATATATATATATATATATATATATATATATATATATATATATATATATATATTTCTGCATTGAGAATAATAATATTATACCACACGAGTCATTTCCAATATAAGATTTCAACACTAGTGTGTTCTCCACTTTATCATGATCCCATATTTCTTATGCCATATTCTTGAGACACGTTCATTACTGCTCACCAGCTCGACAAATTCTATTCCAAACTGATTTTTTACAACAGATTTTGTCGAAGGCAAAACTATCTATCTGGAATTTTGTAGTACTAAAATATTTTTTTGCAACATTCTAAAAAAGGGATAGTTAACCGAAAGTGGGAATAGCGCCATATGTTTTTACCGTCCCTTAATACGTACAAGGAAAAAATTAAAAGAAAAAAATTGGAGCGTTTTTTGAGAGAAAAAATTGTTAAAACAAATTTAATTGCCTACATTTCGCCCTAAATTAAACGACAACGGACTTCATGTAAAATATCCCCTCAATTTAAGGAGTTTTTAAAATCCTTACAAACTAACGGACAGACAGATGTGAAGATATTTTGAAAAACAAAATCGATATCAGGGAACTTGTATCTTTGTCATAATCTCGATTTTCTAAAGAATTACATAGCTTTAGCAACACTATATACGATATAGTAATAATAAAATAATTTTTTTTTAATATCGAAAAGTTTCAATAAAACGAATTTTCACGTTATTAAATTTCGAAAGAATATTGTATTTTTGGCAAAAGCGCATTTTTTTACACAAAGCATTTTGGTCAATATTACAATTTTGGTCTCTTTTTTTTGCATATTAATGTTTGGTCAATATTGACGAAGATAGCAATCTACTTGGTTGAAATACTTTATAAACATAAAATTAAACACATTTAAAACACTTATAATGGAATTTTAGCACAAATGCTATTCTAAAAGAACTACTGAATATTTTTCAAGGAAGCACAAGAGGTATTTAATACGTATACAGCATGCTCGACAGATAGGTCTTTTAAACATGAGTAATTTGAAAAAATGTTACAGGTGGAGTTACGACAATCGAACACGACATTATATGACCCTCAGACATGCCATAACTATTCCGTCTACCCGAGCTAGATTCAGGAAGTATGTTTATGATAAACCGATTCGCGAATATAACAAATTGAACACACTAAGCCTTTAAAGAAAAATTTAAAGACTAAAAGACATGTGTGTCCTAAGAAATTCCTAAGAAATTATAAACAAATAATAAAATTTTCTCAAATTACTACTGTAAATCACTTTGGTGAAAGTTGAATTAAATCGCTGGATTGAATGAAATACTACCTATAAAAAATGGGGAAATCAATTCTTCAATAGGCAAAAGTTCACACAAAGAAAAAAACCTTTTTGAAGCATTATAAAGTTTAAATAGTATACATTCCTTCAATCATGTAAATCTTGCTAACAGAATTCACTAAGCAATACCTTCAATAATCTTGAATTTATTGAAATTGATTGATATTGATTGATTGAAATTGAATTATTTGAAATTATTCTGTGAAAATAAGTTTCTCTGAAAAATAATTAAATATGTTTAGACTAAAAAATAACGATCTTCCTCCGAAATTTCTGTTTGCCAGAAAATTTGTGCGGTTTGTTACGGTCAACACATCATTGAATGTTTACACACAATTCTTTCTTATTCTACCTCCTAATTGTTCGTCCGTGCATCACCTGAGGGAACCTTTGCTGCTAATTAAATAAAAAGAATGTGCTTATGAACAATTCGCGAATGACCTAAATGAACATTACCTATTACTTTTTCTCGAAAAAGAAGAAAGATCTAGGCTTCTTTTCAAGTTTGTTGAAAAACACCCGACTTTCATTCCGGCTCCACGCCACATTTATTTGATGATGTTCCTGTGGTAATTTCTATATGTTGAGAAACGCCTACTGCGAATATGACAAAACACTTGCATTTGTATGGATGTCACACGTACCTGATACCAGTAGGGATCCTTTTTCTCCTTAGAATCTATATTGGCTTTTATCCACTGATTGTTCTTGTCCAAATACTTTTGAATACGACGACAAGTTTTCTCTCTCCCATCGCAGAATCCCTTCATGGTGTTGAACCAATGTTCATAAATGAGTTCACTTGTGACATATCCCTCCAAAACACCGGCAGCATATACTTGATCTTCGTCAGTTGCTTGACCATTGCTCTGCAGTTCCAAAAACGACCACCTTGCACAAAAATTTAAAACAACAATCGTTTAACTAATAAAAGCAGATTTCCCTCACAAAGTAATATTAATGGATTATAAAATGTTAATTATAATAATATTCACTCCATTCATGTATCACAATCAATTATTAATCATTTCAATTAAGATAGGTATAAATTAAACAAATATAAAATTTACGAAATGGAGAAACAAATACGACCATTTTTATAGAATGTGAGTATTGTAATTTTCTTTATAAATTTAAAAATTTACCCTGTTTTGTTTATTTGGTTGTCAAAAATAGCTTTCGCCACCCAATTGGCAGGCACATCTTCGAAATTGGTAACATCTGCTGTGTGTATTTGAGCACCCTTTGATTCGTCTAATGTTACATATTGAACGGTGTAATATTTTGTAGACGCCCGACTTAACGAAAAAAGTAGGAACGTAATCCCTAAAAACACGATCTCACGAACCGCGGTTGAAGCCATAGCGGGAAGCGAGAACAACTGACGCTGAATGCGGCGAACGCGCGAGTGGTGTTTCCAGCGCTAGTGTGGAGTGGGGGCTGACACACATCGCTCTGAAAGGTCAGATGACTGGAACTGCCAACCATCGTCCAAATAAGTAGAGTTGTACAATTTTGAAGAATAAGCATATCTTTTTTGGCTATTATATCTATTTTCTTCTTTATATTTTGGAAGAAATCTACAAATTTATATCGTCTTATGTCTTTATATAACTAATATTTGGAAATAGTCTCATGAAAAATATGTTGGCAAGAATTTCGTGCGCCATGTTTAAGAATAAAGAATTACATCACTCGTTACAAGGGCATTTTTCTGGCCGGTAGTCGACGGGATGTATTTAAATACGTCTATATTTCTTATCACATCCCAAGATGTCTATGATTTTTGATTTTTTTAAATTGGTGACTAATTTTACTGGTCGCTTTCTTCCGACTTTTTAAAAGTGGCGCCCTGTCGTCAATATGGTCCAGCAGGCACCCTCTAGCGATTCTTTTGTAAAGAGGTCAGGAATGTCTGAAAATAACATATAGAGCGCGGTAAATACGTAAATATTGACGTGTGATACGTGTAGAGCGCGGGGCAGATGGGTAGCGTAAAACATAACTCGTAGTTGTATAAAGTGTTATCCAGGTGTTATCAGAGGTCTAAGGGTGTCGATAATAATGTGAAGGTTAGCAAAGGCCAAAATATTTCGCTTCTGCATTTGAATGGGAATCTGTTCGTTTTTCCAGCAACATTCCAGAAGTATTATTGGCACAATACTGTAATCTTTAGTCAGAGCAAGTTATCTGTAAACAATAAAGTTACTGTAAGATCAACTTTATTAATGTAATGAAGATCAACGAGAAAAATTTGGCCGCATTCGCGTCTTCAGCCACTCCTGTTGATCGGGAAGGATGGCTTGTCAAGAGAGGAGAGGTGAATAAAGGTTATCAGCGACGCTGGTTTGTCCTGAAAGGGAATCTTCTTTTCTATTTTGAAAAGCGAGGAGAAAAAGAACCCGTTGGAGTTATTGTATTGGAGGGTTGTACCATAGGTATGAAGTTATTTTTATTGTTAAAAATGACACTATACATTCTAAAGTAAATTGTAAATTAGGTTGTGCAGGACTTGTACTTCATTGGATGTTAAGATAATGTGCAAAGCAGGAATTACAGAAAAATTAATGAGATATACATTTATTTGATTTTGTCAATTCAATACACTCACTGTGTAATTAATTATGATTTGGTTTTTAGAACTTGCAGAAGATGAGGAACAGTTTGGCTTCAAAATTGTTTTTCATGGTACTGGTAATAGGAGTTACACTTTGGGAGCAGAATCTCAGGAGAGTATGGAACAATGGATGAAAGCTCTTGCTTGTGCGAGTTATGATTATATGAAATTGATGGTAGCAGAATTACAACGTCAGCTAGATGAAATGGAAGGTGAGTGACACTGAAATTTATGTATTGGTCAGTTCTATGTATCAGTTCTTTATGTTGATCTTCATTGTGTGGATTCACTAATCAAAGTGTTAATTTTTTTGAGGATTGACATGTTAATAATTGTAACATTTATTTAAAATGATCATTGAAACTTTGAGATAACTTTCTAGAAGGGTTTATCATAAAGTTCTCCAAAACATAAAAAGAGGAAAGGGAAAAAATTCAATGCCAAAAAGCATTTAATAGAAATGTACCCGTATAAAATAAAATAACTTCATGAAATAGAAAAAAAAAAAAATATTTTTTTTACATTATTCCTGCTGTATCTAGTGTATTAATTTGTTTTTCACATTTTTGTGATTTGATGTGTATTGATGATGCTATGTATGGAAATTTCAACTTATCAATTTACAAGTCTCTTGAGTGTTATTACATTATTATTTTTATTATTTATTGTCATGTTGATGGGAATTGTAGAATAAAAATTGCTTTTAACATTATTTTTCATCTTTTGTGAAATTTTATGTTGTAATATTATGATTGTAATTAACCTATTATCAATTTACATAATTTCCACAGAGTGTGATGCGGTGACAGCTGCTTTTGGTGAAAAATCTAGTCTTTCATCCCCACAATCAGAAACAAATGATAATAAAGCTAACAGTTCCCCAATGCCACCTCCTCGGCAGAGACATAATCCTTTTAATAAAGTGACTCAAGAAGCATCAAATGGTTCTGGTTATCAACACTATCGATCTCATAGCATCCGATCAGCCCCAGGGCGAGCCGACAGTGGAAGATACACTGAAAATATTCCTCGATCAAAGGTGACATTCAGAGAATTGCACAATTCGTATGGTAGGCGCATTTTAAGTGACTTTAATGAATGGCGACATGCAAAGCGATTAGAATTGGAAAAGAAAACTGTTCCTACACAAGATTTATTGATTACTCTGTAATAACATTACAGATATTATGTGTAAGTGGTTGCAATTATAATATTTCATAGAGCTTGTCAACATCCTCAGGATATTCATCAAACTTGTATATAGTGTATTTTTTCCATTGTAATATGTATATTTTTGTACTTCATAGTAGTTTGGTCCAATTTAATTGTATACAGATTTTCCCATGTATTAATACAAACATGTTATTTCGTTGACTGCACTTTGTGTGCGTTTCCTTAAAGAAGAAAAAAGGATGTGTATGTCTCTTTTTCTTGTTATTCTATTAAACTTGGGCTATATAAATGGAACAGTACTAATTTATTAATTCAGTTCACTACAAATTGAACTGAGGAAATAGTTTAATGAAATTAAGTGCATAATTTTGAGTAATGTGTAATTGATGTTGTACCTGGTTTATTTGCTTCCTTCTCTTGAATAATATTCAATTTTTGAATTGTTGTAATAATAGTTTTTGTTGGTCAAGGCAATATGTTTATCAAATGTGTATAGCTACGTTCGTAAATGTATTGAGTTTATTGCAAATGAATAGCAAGCCATAGTCATTGATGTTGTCAGTTGCAACAATTACATCTCCTGAACAAAGCAATGCTTAGAATATTGATCTTCCTGTGTAAGTCTGTAAGATAATAGTTGTATGTGTAATATTTAACAGTTTCTCATAATGAGAAGGTTTTTCTTGAACTAGATTATTCTAATGTTGGATATAAAATATTCATATTTATTGTAAAGGTATTGCAGTTCCTTACAACTTAGCCAAGAAATAATTTGTAATGGTAACTTCAATTATTATGTTATTCACAACCGTAATTAAATTATTTTGCAGAAACACAAATATTATTTTTAATGGCCTAATTCAACTTTATAACAATATCTATTATAATGCATGTGTTTATGAGTGAATAACTAATATTAATAGAGTTATGTAGTAATGAAACTTTTAAATTGAAAATTTTGTCCCTCATTACTATCTCTTCTATTTAACTGGCAGGTAATAAAAACTTCATGCTATCTTCTATTATTTTCCTTTGGCATTACTTTTTGCAATTGTATTTTTTCTAATCTGGATTTGCTAGAAATGTTAGCAGACAAATAAGTGACTTCACAAATATTTATAGAAAGTGTTGGTTATCCTTAATCACATTTTTTATAAACTTAAAATCCTGTATGTCAAGAGATATTTTAAATTTTAATTCAAAAATAAATGAATTCATTAGTATTTAAATTTGGGCAATTTGGCAATTATTTGGTTTGTCTGAATTCCTCTCAGCTGTCATCCATAGGTTCTTGAAGGATCTTCATGGGCCCTTACAGTGCCCTACTGCTCTCAGGGCCGATTCTTGCCATGTAACTCCCTGAATCTGTGAGCAATGCACGTGGGCCCAGCTGGGTCCAGAACAAATATTGCCAATGGGTCCATCCCAGTACTTGTGTCGTTCAAGAAGTAGGGAGCCAGTTCTTCAGAGTAGACAAGTTGCCAGAAAGGCCATGAGATTTGGACAGTTAACAGATGGATTAACTCATTTTGACATATCTTAGATATGACAGTAGCCTTATTGACTCCTAGCTTGTCTTCTGACGTCTCAGAGATACAAATGTGTCCGCACACTACTAGAGTGACTGAAGATGGGAGTTCTAGGATTTTGTAACATTTACATTTCTGACTTATTCTGGTCTGTGAAATTTGATGATCTCATTCCTAGCTATTCCATTATTTTTAAATAGAAATACTGCAGAAAATAGGTATGTTGAGACATTTAAATCTGATGGGAAGGCTAGTGCAAAGGGTTAAAAAAGCTTATGCAAATGGGATAAGAAGTGCTACATGAGGGATTGGGTATATCGTGAAAACATCTATGCATTGCAGGATTCAAGATCTCAGTCTTGATCTCCAGTGCAATGGCCTAACCCTCTTCATCACCAGGCTGGCTAATGATTACATTTTTGTTATATCAACACAAACCATATAATGAATGAAAACTAGACTTCACTTTTTCTCTTTCTAGCAAAGAAAAATTCATTACAACAAAGCTAAAATTTTGCACACATTTAACACTACAGCAACTCATTTTAAAAATAATATTAAATATTAACTTACAGAATCTGAGCTTTTGCTTGTTCTTTCTATGTTTGTTTTCACTGATTATAAATTTTTAGTTTAGTTTAAAGTATAACAAATTGGTGTAACAATTAGTCAAGACTGACAATATTTTCACTTTTTAAAGTATATACTTTGACAATATACACTATTTCTCAATTGGACTTAAGAAGTCTTGACTTGCATAGTTTTTGTTTCCTGCTCAATCTGTGAAAGTCTAAAAATTCTCTTGGTCTTTACAAAAGTTTCAATGAGATCACCAAAAATTCTTATTAAAATCAAAACTTTTGAAATGACAATAAATTCTTTTGTGGAATTGAAAATCAAAATGCATACAATGAGGATTAGGTCCATCGGTTGACACTTGCTCCAACATATAAAGAGGTTTTCTATTATTTCCCCAACTGTAAGAAACGAAAATGTGTATCATGTTACATCAACATTGTACTCCCACCAATCCAATTATTCTCCGACTGTCAAAGTCTTGTGATTTTGTTAAGAAGCAGAT